GAGAAAGTGTTCGAGACAACAAACATCATCTCTTGACAAAACTGGAATACTCGGTCGCCGCGTTCGTTTGTTATACCTAATCCATAGCTACCAACGGCAACTATGTCTTCTCTCGCACCGTTACCAATCTTTGCATTAAAATCACCCATAATAATGGTAATTTCCGACTTTTTAGTGAGATTTAAGGCGGTTTGGAGTCATTCGTAGAAGGCTTCGACAGCTTCGTCCGAGTGCTCGCTCATTGGTGCATATATCTGGATGATGTTGACATTGTTGGAATTGAGCTGAAATTCTAAGGGAAATGCAAATACACGCTTCTTCTTGATGAAAAAAAAAACTCTTTGGATAGTTGAATATTGAAATACCATAAGCCAGATTCGAAGACACTGACTACGTTTATTTCACGCGTTGCATCCGGATACTAAATGGATTGGATTAATAATGGGGATTAATAATCCTGAAATAAACACCCAGGATTTGAGAGTTTATCCGGATTGGAGTACTTAATCCAATCCTCCAAATTTGTATAGGATTGGACTTAAAATGGATTATCTCAAATCACTACATAGTATAAAACAAAGTCGCTTTCTCTGTCCCTGTATCCCTATGTATGCTTAAATCTTTAAAACTACGCAACGGATTTTGATGCGGTTTTTTTTAATAGATAGAGTGATTGAAGAGGAAGGTTTATATGTATAATAACATCCATTAAATAATGGAGAAATACTGTTATTTTTGAGGTTTCCAATGTGATGTCGTAAATAATTACATTTCTTTCGCTTACATTGCAAACGCAGGAAGCGATTTTAACCAATACAGGGAAAGGGGAATTGTTTTACTACAAATTTAATGCGTGCGGGCCACGGGCAGTAATGAATAAATCAAAACTACTGGATCGATTTTAATCATTTTTTCAGTGAGTGACATATGCTATATATTTTATACCCGTGCGAAGCCGGAGCGGGCCGCTAGTATGAAATAAACACCTCAAATCTCAGAACTAAACCTGTTAAAAACCTACAAAGTGTATCAGCTGATTGCCTTAAATGAAGTTAGACACAAAACAATTTGGGCTTGCGCTTTTCACAAGGCCTAAGAAAGGATTAGCACTAATCTTAATCCATTTAGTAGTTGTGAAATAAACTAATATGGATTAATAATCCAATCCACTCAGTATCCGGATACAACGCGTGAAATAAACGTAGTCAATATTTCAAAGAAATGACCGCGAAAGAAATCCCAAAAATATCTAGGTCTATGTCAAAGTTTACTCTATGTCTATGTCCAAAATTGACTGATATAAGAGATATAATACTAGCATCAAAATTTTACCAGCGTGGCTACACAAATTGAAGGCTCATACAATAAAAAAACCTATTACAAAAACATAGAACGCGATGCTAATAAACTTTCTCCCTGTTATGTCCATAACATTACATAAACCAAGGTCGTATGTCTTAGTCCTCACAACAATAATAATTAATCTTTGTAGGTCAGTTAACATCTTTATGCGTAGGTATATCCTTAGGCTTCAGTTGTAATATTCAATTAGACTGAAATTTAATGCTTTAACATTAGTTTACATAGGTAGCTATTTATTTTTGTTCAAGTAAACAGCATACAGCTAGTGTCCCAAATAGGGTACTTGCATGAAAACTAGATTTGTAAAATATCATTTTATTTCAATTATATACTTCGTATGAAACCTGTTTGCAAAATATTATGCTATAAATAAAATTTTCTGAAGATATATTTGAATAAGAAAATGCTCAAAATTTAAATTTTAGGAAAACATTTTCATTGGTTTGACGTCACTTATCAATGTAAGGTTGTCAGCTTGTTTAGTACATTTTAATCGATTTCGACAAGGGCAATCCAACGACCTGTCAAAAAATAAATTCAATATGGCGGCATTGTCAAACTTTTTAGGTGAGTTTGGGTTAGTCTTTATCAGTTCTGCATTTTTTTTGCCCACTAAAAATAGTTTCACTTCCAAATAGTGATTTGCGCTGAATGTTTTTATGATACAACTGTGTATTTATACAACCATATTAAATCTTCAAGTATGATTGTATAGATAAATAAATTTTCAATTTTTTTTGACGAACCGTTCCTTATAAACTGGTTTGAGCTGCGATTTCAGCACACCTTTCCGCAACATTTAGGTTCTACACTAAAAACTTCTTAAGATTAAGATAGGGACTAAGGAAAATCACCTCAAAACATCACAAAATACACAGAAAATAGTTTTATGATAACAAAACTTTAAGGTTTTCTGGATGTAAATGGAATTCTCATGGCGCCAATCGCAAACTTCATTGCTTGACCATTACCGCCATATGGATTGGTTATTTGGCCTTGTATTTGTACTAGTAGCCACTGTCAAAATAGTGAGGTTATATTTTATGTAAAAAATTTATTACCAATTTTTTGAGTTGTCCTAGAAATTGTACAATTGATATTAAGGCAACACCGCATATGACGTCACTTCTAAATGTTCGAAATTTTAGCTTTTTGGCGCGCGTTTGAATCTATTTGTGTATATCTGAAAAACTACAGATTTTTATGAAAAATGACAAATAGGGTATATATTTTGCATCATATAGATTCAATTAAAAGTGGTATTAAAAAATGTGCAAGTACCCTATTGGTTTAAAATTAGGTTTAAATATACTGCTTGGCACTTGAACTTACACATACAGATTCTTAGGCAAAATTCCATTTTATCGTCCCGTATATCATAATCCTATGGTGACATTCCTAATTTTCCCAACTTTATTAAAACTTTAAAAAAGTCATATGTAGCATCGTACACGTGTTAAAAAGTGGAACTTCTTAAAAACTATTCCCTCTCTCATACGACTTTTAGACTTAGCGCATGAGTCGGGGTATATAAAGACGAAAGGCTACACAAAAGACAAACGCGCATCTGTAGTGACATCACAAGGATATCGGCGCTTTATAATAATGGGCAATCCCTTCGTTTATAATATTTGGTTTGTGTCAATCGTTCGTCGGCTGTCATTGTCATTGGCTGTCTTTCTCCGCCTCTCTACATTATATCTTTCTTCACTCTCGTCTCTCGTGTGCCGAAATTTCGCAAAACGTGTCATTACGTGTAACGTGACGCGTCTTTCGAATCACTTTCCATTCTCGTCCAAATCAGACCGCCGCCTAAGAAGTTTCACTCAAAAAAATCATGTGTAGTATCGTATACGTGTTAAGAAGTGAAATTTTTTAAAAAGTATACCCTCCCTCATACAGCTTTTAGACTTAGCGTATGAGCCGGGGTGAAAACGAAGGGTCACACAAAAAACCCAAAAGGGAGTCGCGCATCTTTAGTGACGTCACAAGGGTATCGGCGCTTAACAATAATAGGCTCTTTGCTTATAGTCCTTGGTTTGTGTGAATCGTTTCTCGTCTGTCATTGTCATTGGCTCGTTTTCTCCGTCTCTCTACAGCCTACATTATATCTTCCTTCTATCTCATCTCTCGTGTAACCAAATTTGTCAAAAAGTGACGTTACGTGATGCGTCTTTCAAAAGTTTGACATGTATACATCGTGATTTACGTAGCCGGCCTCAGACAGCCGGCAGGCCTATTTTCTATGAACACCAATTACATAGCAACCAGCAACCGGTCGCAAGTTGTTTTTTTAGAATAGAAAATTCGCGTTTGACAGCGACAATTTCGCAATTATCTGCGGGCGCAAGTTACAGAATAAGTTGGCCGTGCATTAGAAGTTGTCCAGTTTGCAGGTGGATTAGTAAAAATAGCATCTAAACCACCTGCAAAGTAATGTCAGGGGCTACGTAAATCACCCTGTATATTCCAAACCTACAATTAATATAGGTAATGAAATAAAATTAACACTGTATAAAAAACGTGTATGAGAAAAACCTTTCGAGAAACCAAAAACTATTTCTTCAACTCAAGAGCAAAGAATTCAGACTAATTCAGAGTTTTGCTGAAATCTGAATACCGAGCGAAGAATGCGCAGAACGCAAAAGGCAACATAATATAAAAAGTTTGGATTATCTAATATACTATATTGTCCATCACTCTCAAACACAACGCGCTTGCAACAACAAACTATAGATATAACTACGTCGGTCGTCGGTCTTGAATAGAGAATAGTGCTAGTGGTGAGTGGTGCTAGTGCCACTACTGCCACGAGTGCCACGTGCCACTGCCAAAGGCTAGTGGTGCTAGTGCAGTGCAAATTGCAACGCAAGAGATCGCCACGACCATTGGGATTTCGTCATCCTGTTGTCCGATGATTTTGCAATTCATTACGACTCGTGACACGATCCTAATGTTAATTTTAATTAGTCCTCGACAATGAGGTGCGCAAATTTTTGTCAACCAATTTTTCCCAACTTTAAATTTTTTATCCAAATTTTCCCAACTTTCGATATATTTCAGGAACTTTGGGGGGGGGCGTTACCCCCCCCCCCCCCCCCATGGCTCCATCCCTGTTTCCGATGGGTTTCCAAAATAAAAAACAAACGAGTCGAGCTATTTTTCCCAACATTACCATTTATATTATTGAACTTACGAGAAAAGAAATTTGGCTCATCTTAAATTGAGGAAAATAAGTCTAGACATTGAACGCTTTTCAGTTTTCAGCTGCCAGACGCATTTGCCTTACTTACAGATCCGACAGACTTTTTTTCACAACTTAAGTAGGTATACCTCATGCTGGTAAAACTATTTTTATCAGTGGAAAAAAAAATAGAGCTCATTTGTATCTTCTGGCGCATTTCCCGTAAAATTATAAAGTAACGTTATGATTTAATATGCTCAGAAATTTTGGAGAAAAATGTGTGAGCTTTTCAGGCACAGGTGCCAATTTCAAATGTCATCAAATTCACTTTGCTGGAACACCAAATTTATCTTTGCGCATGCCTCAGGCTGCTTGCACATTCGGTTAGGAGATTCCTAATGTGTTTTTGAATATTTTTCGAGCAGCTGTAGAAAAAATAAATTATTGTACCTACCCAGATACTCCTTCTGGCGTTGTGCAACTTTTTGAATCTCCATCATCGTCATCATTTTCATCACTTTCATCGCTAATTTTTTCAAGAAGTTCTGGAGGTTTCTCTCCAGGTATTGGCAATGCCTCTCTCACTAATGGAGCTATTGTATCTGTAACGTTTCGTCCTAAAACGTTCTTACTTATAGTATACAAAGCATTTGGCACCTCCTGAGAAACCTTAGTGTTCTCTCCAGCTCTTGTCATATTTACCAAATAACGCCCCACAGTATTTAAGGCTCCCAAGGTCTCAGTAATTTTAAAAATGGTTTCCGGTTTAAAATGGCGCCCATATTCCTGCGATGTCTTTAATTGGTGATAGTCTTCATTGTTAACTGATCTGGGATGAGTTATTTTTATCCACTGTGGATTAGCAGGTGGTTCCTGGAGATACAAAGGCCGAGTCTCATAAGGACGATATGGGTAATACTGATCATGAGGACTAAATTGATTCGTAGACAAGTGGCAGAAGCAGCATAGTATCAGCAACCTTCCTAAAACAAATAAATTAGCAAACAAAGCTGGAAAAATAGTTCGAATGTCATGTTTTTGTAAGCAAAGGAACTACGTTGTACGTGAACTTTTGGAGCTAATAATATTGGACTTCTCGCGCGAACGTCAATGATCAAAAAATATTTAATGATCAACCTAAAATGTTTGTCACTATGTCGGACAAAAGTAGTGCCACCGCTACTCTGTACACAAGAAACAATATAGTCAACTCAATTAGCTGACACCAAAGTCTATAGATCCTCGAACAAGTCCGCTCACTCTCGCTCGTCGCCTAAATTCCCCTCCTGCCGACGCGCTACTTCTAGCCAATGGTTTCCCTGCTCAAGAGGACCCTCGTCTATGCCTTCAGTTACCGGGTGGCTTGCATCGCGTTCTATATCGGGTGCGCCAAGCAAAAAGTGTAGTAAATTTTTTTCGAAATTTTTGCGATTTGATAAAATTAAAACGCAATCATATATTTTTTTAAGGTGTCAGCAATGGAAAGATATTTTTAGGCTTTGTTGCAGAACATAGATAAGCAAACAAATTAACACTCGAAGCGGCTAACAGAATTGTCAGAATATGTTCTGCACACTTTAATGAAAACTCATTCACTTTGTCCGAAAATAGTTATTTAGCTAACAAGTGCGGAAAGTTATACTTTTATGCACGCAGCGGCAAGCCGTTAGTGCGGAAAAGATACTTTACGCTCGTGTTAGGTACAATATTTCTCCTACGAGCGTGCGGAAATTGATATATTGTTTTTTTATTTGTTTTTGGATCTACTGATCCTAAAAGAAATGGTCAAAAATTTGATTTTTTAGGAATTAGAAGAAGTATAGAATTTTTTAAAACGTATGTCGCTTCTTGAACACACAATAAAAATAATTTCCTATTTGTACATGAAATCGATTGCTAATACGTCAATTATTGGACGTATTAGCAATAGAAGTTCGTTTTTTCTTGGTAATATTTTATTTCATCTAATTCGTGATTGATAAATAAGGATGGAATTATTCTAATGGGTATCTAAAATACTAATTTAATTAATTATTTATTATTTACCTAACAAATGCGGAAAATGATACTTTATCGCACGCAAGCGCAGTTTGGTCAAGCCGTTAAGGGTGGTGAAGGCACTTTCCGCATGTGTTAGGCACAAACATTTTACCTATGAGCATCTACATCTCCAAGAAAAGGCCGTAATAAAATTAATTAACGATTCAGATTAATTAATGAAATTAGATTAAAATTAAAAATGATCAAAAATTCCTTTCCTAGAAGAGAAGGGATTTTTGATTAAAAATATCAAAATCTACTTTACCGCACTCTATGCGGTAAAGTAACTTTACCTACGAGCGTGCGGTAAAGTGCACTTTACCGCACTTATTTGCAAAATGGAAAGTGGCACTTTACCGCACACTATGCGGTGAAGTTACTTTACCGCATAGTGTGCGGTAAAGTTAACTTTACAGCATAGTATGCGGTAAAATGAACTGAAAAGTGTGCGGTAAAGTTAACTTTACCGTATAGTATGCGGTAAAGTAGACTTTGGTATTTATGATTAAAAATCCTTTCTTTTTCAGGAAATGGATTTTTGATCATTTCTAAAAACTAATCTAATTTCATTAAGTAATCTGATTCATTAATTAATTTTATTAATGCCATTTTTTGGAGATGTAGATGCTCATAGGTAAAATTTTGTACCTAACATATGCGGAAAGTGCCTTTACCGCCCCTAACGGCTTGACTGCCATTGCGTGCGGTAAAGTATCACTTTCCGCATTTGTTAGGTAAATAACTATTATCTCACACTTTGCAGTCTACTTTACCACACACTATGCGGTGAAGTTAACTTTACCGTACACTAAAGTAACTCAACCGCATAGTGTGCGGTAAAGTGCTACTTTCCATTTGCGAATCGGTGCGGTAAAGTGCACTTTCCACATGTTCGTAGGTAAAACTCATTGAAGATGTCGATATTGGTCAGTACAAAAAGTTAATATCTTTCTTGAAGAGAAAGAACGGAGGAACGTAATTTCGAAAAAAATGATTTTTTTCAGAAGCATGACAGAAGGAGAAAAATTGAAAAAAAATCAGTGTGGAAAAACTTTTCTCGCGCACGCCGGTCTGTTTTTTTTTTTTTTTCACGCACACTGTGCGGAAAAGTGATACTTTCCGCACGCAAATCGGTGCTTGAAAACGCGTTTTCTGCACGCTTGTAGGAAAACCTTCATTAAAAACTGCTATTCCATCAAAGTTGCTACCAGAACGTGATGTTAAGTAACACTTACCGCTGATTTTATAATATGAAATTAATTGAGTAACAATAATTATTAGGATTATCCGTCAATTAATTTAATGCTAATCGCTAAGCAGAAAAAGTTTTTCCATAATTTTTTAAAACCAAAAAATTATTAACGTAAATATTCTTAAAAGACATTCTTTTTCAAACTCCCCCTGTAAAAACATTACCAAGTACAATCGGGACCAGCGCCCTCGTATTTGCTTCTTATCTACAAATCGGCGCGTGCTGACATGATTTACGACCTTCCGCAAAAAAAGCCGGCTTTTTGAGGAGATCAAAGGAGTGACCGGACTTGTTCGAGGATCTATAGACTTTGCTGACACCTTACTGGAAGATACTGAATTTTTCCTAGAAATCCAGTTTTAGCAGTAGGTACAACGGAAAGCGAATAAATTGTTTTCACGCTCTAGAAAACCCCAGCAGATAACAGGAGCTGAGGCAAAAACTTAAATAGATATGTATTTATAATTTCGTTTGCTCAAAATTCTATGGGTTGTCCAAAGTACACGAGCTAATATTGTTCCTTGGATCAATTATCCTTAGGATTGATGAAAAAACTATGCCTATACTTATATATAATGAAAAAGTGAATTGATACTATTATCTCTATTATATCGCTAATTTATTCACCTTCTCTACTTTTATCAATAAATTTATGCTACCTAGTTATTTTCGAATGATAAGTCTGGATGATATTTCCTTATTCCTGAATTTTCCATCCGGAATTGGTGATAAATAGCATGGAAACAACTGGGATAGCATTCAAGAATAAATACTGCGAAACTCAGTGGCGGCTCGTATATTAAAAATGTGGGGGTTGCAATTTCAATTGTGCATGTTTTTCGTGAAGGTCCAGAATAAATGTCCTGGTGAAAGTCCTTTTTTTGCTAGTTACAGTTTGTTCAATTTTTAAATTTGGAGTAGGCCTTCAAAGTCTTTTTATTTCAGCCTTATCGGTTGATGAACGCCCACAGAATGGCTCGGCAATTAAATTTTGAACAGAATTCTTTTTTTTTTCACCCCCACGCGACAAAACTTCACAAAACAAACCTAATCTGCGCTGCGAGCAAAAAAAATAAACAAAGTTTGCACTTAGCTTGCAACCTGCTGGAGCTTATGGAGCGGATTTTGAATCCACACAAAGACAGGCAACCAAATGTGCGCCTTCATATAATAGATCGGTTTGCTTTGGAGCTGCAATCCAGCGACTCGACGCCGCTACTCGAAGTCGCCGGCGGCCTGTCAGTTATTGATATTTTGGCGAAGTTGGTGAAATTATTTTATTAATTGACTGCATATTATGTAGGTCCCAAATTTTGGTATAATTTATTTTTTATTTATTTATTTATTTATTTACGGGAAAACCACATTAACTGTTAAAATACAATTTAAGAAAAAATATAAAGAATAAAGCATAAGTTAGGTACTTTATATATATATTATAACTATAACTACATAAATAATAAATATTATTTAACTATAAAAATTAATACTACACAATAATATAAAACAAATCAAGTACAGCCAAAAATCATCTTTTAAGTAAGTAGGTATTAGTATTAGTAAAAGTATGTAGGTATTATGAAAAATATCTTGATCTTGATACTTAATGAGTAGTTAACATATGGAAACATAAAATAGAATTAGGTACAACAAATAATATACAAACCAGAATTGACCCTGTTATACAAAAAATATCACATATTCTTCAGGTACGTTTTTAATTGACCTAGGGTCATATCAAATATATCAATATTTAAGTTATTAATTAATGACATATATCTGTCAATAGGATTATTTTCACCATATGTTGTGCGGTGAAAAGGTATCGGGTCTTCAAAAAAAAAAAAAACCAATCTAAGATTGCTATGGTTTTTTAAACGTATGTCTTAGCAATATTTTTATTTAATTTTCTCAATGAACTTTAATGTCAAAATGATTTGTCAATAATACTGTCCAATAAATAAACAGGAATGCGACGTACGTTTTCGTAATCAAAGCAATCTTCGATTGGTTTTTTTTTTTGAAGACCCGATATGAGAAATGTTGGGTGTTGCCGCAGTATAATTAGGTACTAAAATTTAGTTCTACTATTTTTGTTTTATATTTTTTTAAGTTTTGTTTTGGGGGTTGCGCAAACCTGCAAACCTAAGGAAGAGCCGCCACTGGCGAAACTTACACTTACTAGTTTTTTCCGTCGACCGTTTATTAACGTATTTTATTAATGTATACAAAATCGTTCATTAATGACCCTCATTTATGCATGATTTTCCATAAATGCCTGATTTTTAATCAATATGGCGGCGTCGGTCAAACAGTGAAATTGGCACCATAAGGATTTCATTTACCTTCGTCCTTCAGACAACCGTGACCCGTGACGTTTTGTTATCATAAAACGATTTTCTGT